TGGTTTGGCCATGTGGTGAGGATGCCAGAAGAAAGAATACCCAACTATCTTCTGCACTGGATCCCAAAGCATGGTAAAAGATCAAGAGGTAGACCTCGGAAAAACTAGCTGTCATGTGTCCGGGAGGATGCAGCAATCTTCACAGGTGTCGATAACATCACGATAGAAGATGCAGAACAACAAGCAACAAACAGGGTACATTGGAGAGGCCTAATACATCGGAGAAAGGAGTTACTATGTGGTGCAGGCCACTCCAACGACTAGGAGGAGACCTTTTCAAGTACAAGTACAAGTAAGTATTTCAATCTTAATCATGACCTATCTGGATCATGATTAATAATCCGATTTTTAATAAGTTAATCGGGCGACGCCAGCACCCTTAATTCATCGGAAAAACATTTCCCAATTTTAAATTTCATCTTCCGGGATTAATGATCATAATGTCCATTCCCCATATCATTTAACAGTAAGTTTTCCAGGTAAGTGGGATCAAAGTGAAGAGAACAGCAGCTTACCACGTACACAGGAAGAATACTAACTGAAAGTGAAAGTGAAAGTGATGCTAATGTACTGTGTCTGTTAGTGTCGCTGATCAGTAAATTTATAATTACAGGTAAATATTGAGTACAGAAACCGATAATGGCAAATTCCTATTTTAACCATGAATTAGCATTAAATGTCACAAGTGTGTAGGAAGAGGGGTGGGCAGGGGGCCGGGGGGACCGCCCCCCCCCCCCCCCCCCATAAAATCTGGAAAATGGGCCAAAAGGGGCCTGCAACTTTTTGGCCTCATTTGGCCTATCCTGTCTAGTGTCTAACTGCAGTCTAACTGCACGATGTCGATAGTTGCCGATTTATAAAATTCAGAAAACATTGCTAGTTACTCTTCTGTCCCGTGTTCAGTATCTTCAAGTAAATTATCAGGATACAATCCAGCTGTGAGCTGGCATGAACCAAAAATCTGATAATTTATATTACATATTCCGATATTACGTGTCAGGATTCATCAGAAGTTCAGGAACCTAGCGATAATAAAATTCAGATAACATTGCTGGTTACTCTTCTATGCCGTGTTCAGTATTTTCAATAGTAATACCAGAATTTTTCGATGAACCAGAAATCTGTTAATTTATATTACATATTCTGATATTAAACGGGTTGCTGATTTTGATAAATAACATCTTGATCCGGCGTGATCAATTATTTTAATTAAAGTACAACGGCTGTACCCCTGACTTTTTAACTTAATAAGCTAGACGTATATATTAGGACATTTGTAATTTGATAAAATTTAAAGTTTTGGTGTGTGAATTAAAGGTCTTTTTAAAAACAAAACATATTACATGTCAGGATTCAACAGAAGTTCAGAAGCCTAGCGATTATAAAATTCAGATAACATGACTTTGTCCTGCTAATTTACTCCCACGGCATAAAAGAGTAATAAGTCATGATGACTTATTACTCTTTTATGCCGTGGGAGTAAATTAGCAGGACACAGTTTGGCCCTTGTAGTCCAAATTTACATTACTTCATTGCTAGAATTCATTCCTTAAAACAAATTTTCCAAGAATTGTTCCAGTTTCTCCCTCTTTGCATGTTGTAACCTTTTTGAGAGTGAGACCTATTACTGTAAGAATATTTTTCAAAAGTTGCAGGACTTTTCCTTTGACCCTTAAATAAATTTGCACAACAAAATCTTTCTGGATTTATCATTTCATATTGCTAGATTTCAATTCTGGAAGCAAATTTCCTGAAATTCTTTTCGAGAGAATGCAATATACATTCCTTTTTCAAACTAGTACGCTACACTTATATTATTTCGCAAGAGCTGCTTGCAGGCCCTTATAATATGCATTTAAAATCGTATTATTTTAATCGTTCTTGAAACTGAAAACCATAACTGATTACACACCGAATAGTAGACGTAGTAGCTAGTGCTATAATGTTCATACCTTTGTGCTGCTATGATATGATATTTCAGTTAATTACCTTTATATCATTATTTAGATTAACAAAATTGCTTTAACGTGTAGTGTTCCTTTCAGTAACATGCCGCCACCTCTAAGTCGCCCACAAAACGCCACTGAGCTGCAATTTTCTAGAAAGTGTCATCGATCTATTAAAGTTAAACTGATGAAAATTCGTAAGCCGTGAATAAATGGGAAAAGCGAGCGACTGATTTCATTCTCGGTATCATTTTGCATTTGAGAACGGTTATTCCAATTTATATCATTTCCTTTTGTTTGGGAAAGGGAGACATTGCAACGGTCCACTCTACCCAATTATGGGTTTTGGTAAAATTATACGATACTAACTTATCGTATCTTCCTCATTATTATTAACTTAGTATACGATACTAAATATCCTATCTACCGTGCGTTATTTGTGGTTATTAGTCGCTATACGGCTGAGTGGGTGCAGTGTACTGTGTGTCTTTAACACAGGGGACTCTAACACAGGGGACTCAGCTCCCAACACGATGAAAGATACACTACAAATATTGCACCTTCCTTCAAACAGTACTCGCCTGACTCTATTGATAATTATAAAGGCGAATGTTTTGAGACCGAACAGAGCTTGTCTGATTCTATCGATAAAGACGGGAGTTTTGAAACCGAACAGAGCTTGCCTGATTCTATCGCATATCGAGAAAAGCAGGAGTTTTGAGACCGAACAGAGCTTGCTTAATTCAAGACCAAAGCACTCCGTTTCCAAACAACTATTTAGTCAGTTTTTAGCTGGCACAGGGTCAGAGAAAGTAAAGGATAACAGAGAAACGAGGATAGTAGATGGAACACCCTCTCTATTGTTGGACCTGAGAGGATGGGAGACTAGATACCCAGGATTAGAATCACCTCCGTACTCTAATGCAGACTTAATACTAGCTCTGGTTAGAAACCTTACTGAAAGACTGTACTCAGATTACCTATCCCAGCAGGAAGGGATCAGAGTCCGCAGAAATTCCACCTTGAAAGCTTGAAGTAGTTGTGGAAATAAGAAAGTTTAATAGTTGCCTGGAGAGGAAAACCCTTAGAAATTGCTGTTACTCCTCAGACCAGTCTTAGACTGAGAATTGCACTTGGGGTTTATGTCTGCTACATCAGAGACTTTTTAGAAGTATTTGAGGATAACTTGTTAACAGTAACTTTGAAAGAGTATCATCCCATAGAAACTCTCACGAAAGTTTTTAATCATATTGTTGTTGCAAAACCAAATTTAGAAGATTTGGGAAATTCTATAAAGCAGTCTACAATACACAATGTGAACACATACGTGAAGGTTAAAGTTGGCGATATGCTTAATGGAACCGCAGAGTTATTGGATGAATTCTATAGCCCTTATAACTCAGAACTGTCAGACATTCTAGGAGATTCAAAATTTCTTTTTCTTTGACCTCTCTAGTCTCTATTTTCTTTATGAAAAATAAGAAAAAAGCGTGTTTTGTTAATTGCTGGCTCTGTTACGTCACAAGGACAACTCCATTGCTCACCGTAGCTGAACAGCCAATCAAATAGTTGCCAGCTAGATAAGAGCCCAGGGGATCATTCTCAGGAACTGAGAATTTTGAAATCTAAATAATTATCACAAGGTGGAACTACTCAAGTTTTTTCTGATAAATATAATCTTGGTCATATTATTGACCATGACTATGATACGTGTCTGAGGGGTGAACGATGTATGTTCAAATTCCTGATTATTATAGAACTATACGTGTATAATTAATGAGTCTAAGCTAGCAGGCATCTTTTTTAAATACTACATTTAGCTGCAAGAGCTACCTGGAATACGAATCACAGTATTTTGATAATAGCGATATATGTAATATTTGCTTTTAGGAAGATATTGATATACCAAAATAGAAAATTTAGCACGTTAACTCTGCAAGAGCTGAAATCTTTGCTAGGATCGTATTGAACTAACATTCCAACGATCTCGATCAGCACCCAATCAATGAGTTACAGATTTATAACAGACAATCGAGGTTACTCTCAGCAAATGGGGATAAGGCTAGAGCAATCTTTGGAGCCAATCAAACACAGAATGAAATTAAGTATTGCAAACAGTAATTTCAGACAACTAATAATTATAAAGAGCGCCTCATCACGTGACACAACACCCACGTGGGCGCCCACGTGGTCAAGTGGCCGCCCAGAGCTGATTTGGTGCAGGGAAACAAAGCAAGCTGAAAGGTATAAATGTGGCAGATTCTGTAGCACTGCCTCACTCTCAAAGTTTGACTCGGTGATTTTACTACAGAATTTCAAGTTTCCTCAATCTCCATCTCATCATGATCAAGTCCTCAGTATTCTTTCTGCTAGCGTAAGTTATCATCTGCATACTGATACGCAGTACTATATTCTCGATTTACTGGGCCTGATTTAATTCTCCAATTATCGGTTTTATATGCACCGGCTGTTTTGAGATTTATCGCAAATGGATCACCAGTCCAAACTACAAGTTCATTATCTTACAATTCTACAGATCTGAAATTTAACATCATTTCAGTTCTCTGTTCCTGGCAATGATAGCAGAGTTAGTTTTAGTGGAATGTGGTGTAATAACCAGCGGTGAGGAGAGTTTGCAGACACCCATGGGATCTGAAGAGGAGCAGTGGCCAAACTGGTGGGGACGGGGTGCAAACGGGGTGGGTTTATTTTAACTAAACTTATTAAACAACACACATCCAGTGATAATGTTTTATGTTGTTAGTTTCGCATAAATAGAGTGGCTCTACCATATCTTAGTTCGTTTGATAAAGATTGAAGCCGGAGGTCCCCAGGTTATGTAATGTTACAAAATTTCATACATTTGCAGGGAGGTAACCCGCAATAAGGACACTAACTGTCGATGAACGATAACAAAGTGAAAGAGAAACTGACAGAAAAATTACTAAGGGATAATTCATTTGAACCAGCCTGTTTATGCAAGCTCAACCTTGTGATTGTGATTAAGTATATAATATGCAAGTTTTGGTTTACATGAATTATGTGTTTCATTTATTGATGTTTTAATATCTGTAGTCTAGTGATGAACCATGAGATATAATCAGATTCTGGACTTCTGTGCTCACACAAACCTAGTAGAATAAAATAAAATACAACAATTAAATTAAATTATCGATTCAGAAGAAATCGAGTTTAAGATAAATCAGATTTCACTCTAAGATAAGTTCTGTGGTTGTGACTCAATCTTATGACATGTAAAATCAATAAATGTTTTTGCCATGAAACGGACCAAACTGATCCTAACTCATATTCCACTCATCATAGCATATCGCTTCAGCATGTACAAAGGGCATAACCTCAATCAGTTTAATGTAGTGAAATGACTGGTGTGAATGAAGTAGTGTACTAATACAAGATGGAGAGGATCAGGTAAGCTTAGTCAGCATCCATGATGTTACAAACCCTCTGGGACATTACTGCGCCCAGTCTCCAAAGTTACAGTAAATTCCTACTACGGACAAACAAACACAGACAAAACACCAACAAGAAACTGATATACACTAGCTAGCTCAGAGAGGAAATGAGTACCGGCTCAGGAGGTATGTCAAAACAGGGCGCCCTTTCGAACACTACTCGGGCTAGAATCAGTGCAATTCGGACACTACTATGCAACTGAACCATGCAAAACTATATAAGTACACCTATGCTGGCAAGGCAATAGGTCAGACTGCCAGTCCTTATGACATGTAATCCCATTTTTCTCAATCTCCTTTGCATGCTATTTGCTGAAATCGCGATCAAATCACAGTATTTATTAACCGGGTTTTATAATAAATTACATTATTTCAATCTTAATCATGACCTATCTGGATCATGATTAATAATCCGATTTTTAATAAGTTAATCGGGCGACGCCAGCACCCTTAATTCATCGGAAAAACATTTCCCAATTTTAAATTTCATCTTCCGGGATTAATGATCATAATGTCCATTCCCCATATCATTTAACAGTAAGTTTTCCAGGTAAGTGGGATCAAAGTGAAGAGAACAGCAGCTTACCACGTACACAGGAAGAATACTAACTGAAAGTGAAAGTGAAAGTGATGCTAATGTACTGTGTCTGTGTCTGTTAGTGTCGCTGATCAGTAAATTTATAATTACAGGTAAATATTGAGTACAGAAACCGATAATGGTAAATTCCTATTTTAACCATGAATTAGCATTAAATGTCACAAGTGTGTAGGAAGAGGGGTGGGCAGGGGGGCCGGGGGGACCGCCCCCCCCCCCCCCATAAAATCTGGAAAATGGGCCAAAAGGGGCCTGCAACTTTTTGGCCTCATTTGGCCTATCCTGTCTACTGTCTAGTGTCTAACTGCAGTCTAACTGCACGATGTCGATAGTTGCCGATTTATAAAATTCAGAAAACATTGCTAGTTACTCTTCTGTCCCGTGTTCAGTATCTTCAAGTAAATTATCAGGATACAATCCAGCTGTGAGCTGGCATGAACCAAAAATCTGATAATTTATATTACATATTCCGATATTACGTGTCAGGATTCATCAGAAGTTCAGGAACCTAGCGATAATAAAATTCAGATAACATTGCTGGTTACTCTTCTATGCCGTGTTCAGTATTTTCAATAGTAATACCAGAATTTTTCGATGAACCAGAAATCTGTTAATTTATATTACATATTCTGATATTAGAGGTATGTCAAAACAGGGCGCCCTTTCGAACACTACTCGGGCTAGAATCAGTGCAATTCGGACACTACTATGCAACTGAACCATGCAAAACTATATAAGTACACCTATGCTGGCAAGGCAATAGGTCAGACTGCCAGTCCTTATGACATGTAATCCCATTTTTCTCAATCTCCTTTGCATGCTATTTGCTGAAATCGCGATCAAATCACAGTATTTATTAACCGGGTTTTATAATAAATTACATTATTTCAATCTTAATCATGACCTATCTGGATCATGATTAATAATCCGATTTTTAATAAGTTAATCGGGCGACGCCAGCACCCTTAATTCATCGGAAAAACATTTCCCAATTTTAAATTTCATCTTCCGGGATTAATGATCATAATGTCCATTCCCCATATCATTTAACAGTAAGTTTTCCAGGTAAGTGGGATCAAAGTGAAGAGAACAGCAGCTTACCACGTACACAGGAAGAATACTAACTGAAAGTGAAAGTGAAAGTGATGCTAATGTACTGTGTCTGTGTCTGTTAGTGTCGCTGATCAGTAAATTTATAATTACAGGTAAATATTGAGTACAGAAACCGATAATGGTAAATTCCTATTTTAACCATGAATTAGCATTAAATGTCACAAGTGTGTAGGAAGAGGGGTGGGCAGGGGGGCCGGGGGGACCGCCCCCCCCCCCCCCCCCATAAAATCTGGAAAATGGGCCAAAAGGGGCCTGCAACTTTTTGGCCTCATTTGGCCTATCCTGTCTAGTGTCTAGTGTCTAACTGCAGTCTAACTGCACGATGTCGATAGTTGCCGATTTATAAAATTCAGAAAACATTGCTAGTTACTCTTCTGTCCCGTGTTCAGTATCTTCAAGTAAATTATCAGGATACAATCCAGCTGTGAGCTGGCATGAACCAAAAATCTGATAATTTATATTACATATTCCGATATTACGTGTCAGGATTCATCAGAAGTTCAGGAACCTAGCGATTATAAAATTCAGATAACATTGCTGGTTACTCTTCTATGCCGTGTTCAGTATTTTCAATAGTAATACCAGAATTTTTCGATGAACCAGAAATCTGTTAATTTATATTACATATTCTGATATTAAACGGGTTGCTGATTTTGATAAATAACATCTTGATCCGGCGTGATCAATTATTTTAATTAAAGTACAACGGCTGTACCCCTGACTTTTTAACTTAATAAGCTAGACGTATATATTAGGACATTTGTAATTTGATAAAATTTAAAGTTTTGGTGTGTGAATTAAAGGTCTTTTTAAAAACAAAACATATTACATGTCAGGATTCAACAGAAGTTCAGAAGCCTAGCGATTATAAAATTCAGATAACATGACTTATTACTCTTTTATGCCGTGGGAGTAAATTAGCAGGACACAGTTTGCCCCTTGTAGTCCAAATTTACATTACTTCATTGCTAGAATTCATTCCTTAAAACAAATTTTCCAAGAATTGTTCCAGTTTCTCCCTCTTTGCATGTTGTAACCTTTTTGAGAGTGAGACCTATTACTGTAAGAATATTTTTCAAAAGTTGCAGGACTTTTCCTTTGACCCTTAAATAAATTTGCACAACAAAATCTTTCTGGATTTATCATTTCATATTGCTAGATTTCAATTCTGGAAGCAAATTTCCTGAAATTCTTTTCGAGAGAATGCAATATACATTCCTTTTTCAAACTAGTACGCTACACTTATATTATTTCGCAAGAGCTGCTTGCAGGCCCTTATAATATGCATTTAAAATCGTATTATTTTAATCGTTCTTGAAACTGAAAACCATAACTGATTACACACCGAATAGTAGACGTAGTAGCTAGTGCTATAATGTTCATACCTTTGTGCTGCTATAATATGATATTTCAGTTAATTACCTTTATATCATTATTTAGATTAACAAAATTGCTTTAACGTGTAGTGTTCCTTTCAGTAACATGCCGCCACCTCTAAGTCGCCCACAAAACGCCACTGAGCTGCAATTTTCTAGAAAGTGTCATCGATCTATTAAAGTTAAACTGATGAAAATTCGTAAGCCGTGAATAAATGGGAAAAGCGAGCGACTGATTTCATTCTCGGTATCATTTTGCATTTGAGAACGGTTATTCCAATTTATATCATTTCCCTTTGTTTGGGAAAGGGAGACATTGCAACGGTCCACTCTACCCAATTATGGGTTTTGGTAAAATTATACGATACTAACTTATCGTATCTTCCTCATTATTATTAACTTAGTATACGATACTAAATATCCTATCTACCGTGCGTTATTTGTGGTTATTAGTCGCTATACGGCTGAGTGGGTGCAGTGTACTGTGTGTCTTTAACACAGGGGACTCTAACACAGGGGACTCAGCTCCCAACACGATGAAAGATACACTACAAATATTGCACCTTCCTTCAAACAGTACTCGCCTGACTCTATTGATAATTATAAAGGCGAATGTTTTGAGACCGAACAGAGCTTGTCTGATTCTATCGATAAAGACGGGAGTTTTGAAACCGAACAGAGCTTGCCTGATTCTATCGCATATCGAGAAAAGCAGGAGTTTTGAGACCGAACAGAGCTTGCTTAATTCAAGACCAAAGCACTCCGTTTCCAAACAACTATTTAGTCAGTTTTTAGCTGGCACAGGGTCAGAGAAAGTAAAGGATAACAGAGAAACGAGGATAGTAGATGGAACACCCTCTCTATTGTTGGACCTGAGAGGATGGGAGACTAGATACCCAGGATTAGAATCACCTCCGTACTATAATGCAGACTTAATACTAGCTCTGGTTAGAAACCTTACTGAAAGATTGTACTCAGATTACCTATCCCAGCAGGAAGGGATCAGAGTCCGCAGAAATTCCACCTTGGAAGCTTGAAGTAGTTGTGGAAATAAGAAAGTTTAATAGTTGCCTGGAGAGGAAAACCCTTAGAAATTGCTGTTACTCCTCAGACCAGTCTTAGACTGAGAATTGCACTTGGGGTTTATGTCTGCTACATCAGAGACTTTTTAGAAGTATTTGAGGATAACTTGTTAACAGTAACTTTGAAAGAGTATCATCCTATAGAAACTCTCACGAAAGTTTTAGTCATATCGTTGTTGCAAAACCAAATTTAGAAGATTTGGGAAATTTCATAAAGCAGTCTACAATACACAATGTGAACACATACGTGAAGGTTAAAGTTGGCGATATGCTTCATGGAACCGCAGAGTTGTTGGATGAATTCTATAGCCCTTATAACTCAGAACTGTCAGACATTCTAGGAGATTCAAAATTTCTTTTTCTTTGACCTCTCTAGTCTCTATTTTCTTTATGAAAAATAAGAAAAAAGCGTGTTTTGTTAATTGCTGGCTCTGTTACGTCACAAGGACTACTCCTTATTCTTGAAGTTGAGCGGGTAAATTTATGGCATTAGAGCATTAGGTGGCATTGCTCACCGTATCTGAACAGCCAATCAAATAGTTGCCAGCTGGGACCAGGGGATAATTCTCAGGAACTGAGAATTTTGAAATCTAAATAATTCTTACAAGGTGGAACTACTCAACAAAAAAGTTCGACTATTTTGGAAGTTTTTTCTGATAAATATAATCTTGGTCATATTATCATGATTATGATACGTATTGTATAATGTTTTATTTTTAACAAAAATTATTTGTGAAATATCATTCAGCAGTCTATGCATTAAAAAAATAAAATGTAGACAATGCAGCGCTGACTCTGCCGAGAAACAAAAACAAATTTTGCAGTAAGGAGTCGGGGCGAAACACTCAGTGTCAACCATGCCTGTAAAAAAGTTCAAGGTTATGGCAGAGGGGGGGGGGGGAATCGCTCACTAGACAAAAAGAAAGACATTGATTTTACAATATAATTTTAACAATGGAAAATACAACACTGAAAATCATAACTGATTACACACCGAATAGTAGTAGCTAGTGCTATAATGTTCATACCTTTGTGCTGCTATAATATGATATTTCATTTAATTACCTTTATATCATTATTTAGATTAAAAAATTGCTTTAACGTGTAGTGTTTCTTTCAGTTACAACTAACATCATGGTGGTTGCCATGGTTACATCATGCTGAAATTAGATAATTTTCAGTCAGCTAACGTTGCTAAAAGAAGCTTAATTTCCTTTTACCAAATTGCAGAGAAAATTACAGAAAAATTGTATCACAAAAAGCAATAAAATTAATTTGCAAAACTATTCATCTTCATTCTAATAAATTCCCATAAAGTTCATTAGATATTACATTTTATTTGATGCCAAAAAATAACTAATTTGAATTTACTCTAAATAAAGGTCGGTGTGATTAATAGTAACGGTGCAACTAATAGTAACGGTGCGACTAATAGTAACGGTGCGACTAATAGTAGCGGTGCGACTAATAGTAACGGTGCAACTAATAGTAACGGTGCGACTCTAATAGTAACGGTGTGATTAATAGTATCGGTGCAACTAATAGTAACGGTGCGACTAATAGTAACGGTGCAACTAATAGTAACGGTGCGACTAATAGTAACGGTGCGACTAATAGTAACGGTGCAACTAATAGTAACGGTGCAACTAATAGTAACGGTGCGACTAATAGTAACGGTGCGACTAATAGTAACGGTGCGACTAATAGTAGCGGTGCGACTAATAGTAGCGGTGCAACTAATAGTAACGGTGCGACTAATAGTAACGGTGCGACTAATAGTAACGGTGCGACTAATAGTAACGGTGCGACTAATAGTAACGGTGCGACTAATAGTAACGGTGCGACTAATAGTAACGGTGCGACTAATAGTAACGGTGCAACTAATAGTAACGGTGAAGCAATCCCAGAACTTCATTAAATAAACAGCCAAGAAAACATATCACTGCACTTTCTGATAAAAATTAATTAATAGTTCTGAACTAATTAACTAATTAACTTATTATATTCTTATAAACTCAAAGAATGAATTATGAACTAAACTAAATTAAATGCTAAGTAGAAATACGGAAATCTAAATTGTGATCATATTACATATAAACTTTAAGTTATCTTAACGCACAAATTAATTATATATCCTCTTTAATTTCTTTTCATTAAACACAAATAGCTCTTCATGCTCTAAATAATAACACTGGTTTATGTTTTAACTTAAAACTTATAATTCAAAATTCACCCAAAAATCAAATATCTGTTTTTATGTGGAAAAACTTTAAAACTTTATGTGTTAAAACCCCCCCCCCAGCAGTTCTACTTCTCAAACTATGAAAGTCCCGCGTAATGTCCCCTTAATATTGCACCTTTTTACCAGATCAGTTCCACTCTCTATTATAAGACATGGCATCCCGGAGATGGTCCATATCTTTGTGGCTTATAGGCCACTCGTCGATGGCGGCGTCGTTTTGCAGGACGTACACTTGCGTACCGTGGACTGCATCATAGTGGGTAACTGATTGTAGGTGCTGGTTTCCTGCAGAGTCAGCGGCTTAATTATTTATAGTAATAGTCAATATCAATAGTTAATACCACCGACGGGTAAAAATACAAAATACACTGGCGAACTCTACATTTGCCGACATCGTAAGTTACATTTTTAAAACAAGCTACAGAAGGACCAAATAAACTACTGAAAAAATGATTTGTGAAAATATCAAAACTTACAAGGGACTGATTTAAGTGTACAATATTGAAACTACTACAAGAGGAGGGTACCTACCAGTAATGTACTGATGAGATCTGCTGGCTAATAAAATATTGTGGGTGCAATAAATTGTGTTTTCTAGTCTAGTAATGGCGGGAGTCATCGGCTCCCTCCAGTCAGGAATGAAGATAACGAACATGAGAGGATCCTGCGAATCTGAGGAGAGGGGTATGGGGTTAATTTACATTTTACAGCTTAATACGTTACTGTATATATGGGAGAGGACTTTTGTTAAAAACGTTAAATTAAAATAATGATAAGGGCCAGCATGCAGGGATGACAAATAGTTCCACTAACCCTCAAGTAAACTAATCATGTGATCCGCCATGGTTAACATGACTTCTTCTGAAAAGGGTGGGTTGGCTTGAAACGAGCCTCTCTTGGGCTTGAAGTCGAAGAAGGAGCCCCGGGACCCGAAATAACAGTCAATGTCCGGGAAAGCTGAACAGTACTGACTGAAGTAGCAGTTAAAAGGGGACGCGAAACACTCGAAAGAGACGTGGAACTTGCGGTGAAGGAGGTGGAAGGCTTTGTGGGGTAGAGCTGCGTGGAGCCCGAAGTTTTCTTGGCACAACTTTGTTCCTACTATTGAGGAGCGCAACATCTGAAGAGGGATAAAAATTACGATTTTGGATAAGACAGCCGTTTTTATTTTATGAAATTTTACATATCAAGGTTGCCTCAGTCAGGTTGATCAAGATAAAAAACATGACGACATTTCGAATTTCTTGTAGCATAACAGTAATTTTCAACAGTAATTTTCAACAGTAATTTTCAATTTTCATCTTCGATTGTACCATTTATATCTTTACATAATGATTTAAGAAGATGTTTACTAAGTTAGTTACTAAGCTGGTTACTAAGTTGGTTACTAAGTTGAACTAACCTTGTATCTCTTTAGTAGGCACCACACCCTGCTATTAAACTCCTCTTTCTCTTTCTCTTTAGTGGCGTTGGTTGCTTTATATAGATCCTCCTGAAATAAAACACTGTTTTCAGATCACTCATTGTCATATTATCAATCAATTATATTCACTCAAAAGTCAAACACTTTTTAATCCATTCAGGGTGATAAGTTTGGAATTCCAGAAAATATCCACGATAAGTAATATTATAAACAAACCAGTTTCTTGTAGTGAGATCTGTTGATAGAGAGAGAACTTCCCTGATAAGTGATTCTACAACTACTATCCTTATCAGTGCTACACATGGTGACCGACACGTCACCCCCACGTACACTTTCCTCACTGATGAGGGGCGTGGCCGGGCGGCATCCTACCACTGAGGATACGGAGTCGTTCACATATTATTACCTTATCTCTTTTCGGCCATTTATTAACCCCTCATTTCTTTTCTGTAATCAGTTTCAAGCATAACTGTTCAAGAAAACAACAAGCATAACTGTTATGTTAAAATTACGCTAGCGTAATGAGTAATCACTTACAAACCCCCTCCCTCTCTCCCCCTTAGTAATTACGTAATATGTGTGTGTTTCTAGCTTATTAGAAAATAATAATTATAAAGATATTCTCTTTGTAGAATTTTGATTTTTTTTAAACAGTTCAGAGACAAGAAGGAGAGGAATGGGAGACAAGAAGGAGACACAAGAAGGAGAGAGAGAAGAGACAAGAAGGAACTAACGTCTAGTGGAGGTAGAGACAGAGGGAGGGGGCATAGTCCGGTCCAATCCCTCCGATCTGGAGAACTCCATAACTTTAACAGCACTGTCTCTGCACTGGTCGTTCATCAGCTCGCACACCTCGTCTACCTTAACTTTGAAGTGTCGCTCTATCACATCTCTACATGAGTCTCGCAGCTCCGACATCAGCCCCTGGACATTATAGATTTCTGTAAACAGGGAAATACCAAGCATGATTCTAGAGCGCAGAGACACAAATGCCGAGGAGCTACAACTTAACTACTGTGAACACTAGATATTATGATTGCTAGGTACAAGAATTAAAATAACTCACGAATTACGATAAAAATTACTCTCAAATAATTGTATGGTTCACGATATTATTTGTATTAAATATTAACAGATAAATTACAATGAACTTTGCGACATTATGTCTAGTGTCTTAAAATGAAGTATACATTTATATACATTTTATTACAATATACTATACAGTAAAATACATCTTAAAATATATCTGAATTGTTGCCGCCATTATAACTAACCCTGGTGTCAGAGGATGGAACGTTTTTAGAAAGAACAGCCTCACATTTTTTGTCGACCTCATTTTCTTCTCCCCTGCGGTGAAAACGGTTGAAATTCTTGAATCCGTTAATATGTTGAAGCCAATTTTGAATTAAATAACCGTTATTATTAACGAAACGAAATATCTTCCAAAACAGGTAAATACTCGATCCCGGCTGATTTATGATGAAATCACGGCTTTTAAGAATTATGACATTAAAGCTAAATCAGTTTATCTGACCTAACAAAAAAAACTAATAAATTACCAGTTAATAACGTTACAATTCTCCCCAACTTAAACTGATCACTTACCACCATGGTAATTATGTATGGTAACTGATCACTAACCATTCTTTAGCGAGGTTCTTCATCTTGTCTACAAACTTTTCAAGAGTTTTAGTGCAGGTTTTAACTTGACGAGGTAGCTTGTACTTCATGGGCACGTCTTCCATTATTTCACGATACATAGAAACTGTCTTCTCATCTGTTTATAAGTGGAGGTAACTACATGGTAACTGGTAACCATGTACATGGTAACTATGGTAAATATGGTAAATATGGTAAATATGGTAAATATGGTAAATATGGTAAATATGGTAAATATGGTAAATATGGTAAATATGGTAAATATGGTAACTGGTAACGATGTACATGGTAACTATGGTAACTAAGCTATGGTAACTGGTAACCATGTACATGGTAACTATGGTAAATATGGTAACTATGCACACAGTGGGCTGGGATGCTAGCATAGGCCAAAAATTGGCTTTTTCCCCCCTCTTTTCTAATTGATTTATCTTTTAAGATAAAAATAATCCTGATGCAATGCAAAAAACCAAAATGAAAAAGGATGAATGGTGTGAAAATGGCACCGCGCCTAAAATCTGTATTTTTTGGCAGTGAAAATTCTGTATTTGACTGCCAAAATTTACTCTTCTTTTATCCTTTCACCATAAAATGTCTTTGTATTAGTTTCCTGAGTTATTTATGAGTTAGTGATGATCCAAGCATCCTAGTTACTAGAAAAAAACCCTAAGGGTCTAGCTAATTTGCTGATTTTTTGATGGAGCGCCGATTTTAAACTAAATTTCAGCATTTTTTTCTCTTAAAAAGGGCACAAATAGTTACTAACTTCATAATACTTCAAATGGAAACCTACTTCATCTTAAAGCTGAGACAATTTTGGTTTAGAAGCTTTTGGAATCTGTCTGGGCCACTTTGGGTTATATCTGTTTAAAAAATTAAGAAACTCAAAAATGGGGTCAAATTTGCTGCATTTTTAGATAATTTATGAGCTCAATTTTGCTATTAAATTGACATATCTTAGTTATTCTCCATGTTTGTGGCGTTTTTTGCATCCTAGACTAGAAGCATATGGATGAAAAATCAAAATAGTACAATTATTATAGTTAAAATTGATAAAAATCCAAAAAAATCGCGATTTTAAACGAAATTTTTGAAAATAACAGGAAAAATTTTGGTGTTTCAGAAAATTTTGGTCATATAAATGGGCACAACTTTTGTTCTGATCAATATTTTTTCATAATTCAAAAAGATTTGAGTTCCTAAGATAGCTGTCCTTCGTTTACAGTTCATAGAAGAGCTTTAAAATTGATTAAACCTCTAAAAAACAACTTTTCCTGGGGTCAGCCTCTTATTTTTGGACTACAGGAGTGCTCAAAATCGGCCCAAAATTTTTTTCTAAGACATTTTGGGCCCTGTAAATGATTGGAATCGTATTTTTGTACCCAAATTACCTTAAAAACAAAGTTAGGGGCATGTGTGATGGTCTAAAATACCCTATGCTAGCATGACCCCCACTCACAGCCCACTGTGCTATGGTAACTGGTAACCATGGTGAAAGTGCAGCTTAAAGAACTCAGATGTTAGATTGAAATGTATAAGATTATTTATTTATATAAAAACTTTGTTATGAGCGCCTGCATGGTATCTGGTAACCATGGTAACTGTATTGTAACCGAGGTAACTACACTGTAACCATGGTAACTACATGGTAACTGATAACTACATACCAGAGAAGCTGAAGAAAGGGTCGATGTGTTCAGTACATCTGAGCTTTTGTTCCAATAACCAACGGTTTAATGCTTCAGTCGGTTCTTCTAAACCTTCAATAAGAAGAGGTTTTATCAGTGTTGGTATTTGACTGGTATTTGGAGAAATAACTTAACTGTAAACTTATCATTTCCATAATTTCTACCCCTGAGGCATACCGTATAATTTTGAGTTTATTTTCACACTGAATTTCACTTACAAAAGCAAAAGTATTATACATACGAAATACGGTGTTTCTTTAGAGTATCAGTAATGAAACATGTGATAACTTTAAGAGGGTTTAAAATAATTACATATTTCAAATATCACAATAACAGTTAATAAAACAAGGACAGTTAATAAAATAATTGATATTGTTTGAGAAAAAGAAAGATATTAATGAAACACTATCAAAATAAGTATAAACATACTCAAATAACAAATCATGTATTGTTTTCCTTCATTTATATCATTCATTAATATAATATTATATTTCGAATATAGAAGGTTTCTAGTATATCATAATATATTCATAATAACATTTGGTTATAATTTGGAAATGTTCCACTCAACTTCAGTCCAAAATCATGTTCGTAAGTTAACGATATCTCATAATATCTACAATACATAATACAGACACGGCATCTGGCTTACTTTTGTTGTTCAAAACACAGCATCATGTGTATTATTATTCCCTGGATAGTCCTTGTGATAAGTTCAGAATGAGGTTAAGAAGAACCCCCCCCCCCCCCCCCCCCCCCCCCCTTAAGGGGACGCCCTGACGGCTCTTCTAATCATCATCATAACATTTCCCCTCATCTCTCTGCTTCTAACTAACATGACGAGTGGTGACAGGAGAGCATGCAACAGAGGCAGAGTTGTACTCACCATCAGTTTGCAAACCTGCAAAGCAAATGAATCCAATAGATCACCTCCACTAGGACTTTGATAGGAGATAGTAATAACTGCTATTCCAGAGTTACAGACCAAGAAAACAGCTGACAGGATGGAAACTGTGGTGTTGACACGTGACCAATCAGTCATTACGGGGTGGTCAGGGTCACGTGCACGTGCTCTGTGCCACGTGACAATAAATTGGGTCACGAGGCAAGCAAGGACAACTCCGATTGGAGCTAGATAGAGCAACCCTACTTGAAATTTAGATATCAATATGAGCTGGTTCCACGGTAACTTCCTAACTTCATCAAATATTTTGCGAAGAAGTTCTGTAAAATCGTGACCCACAAAAGCAAGCTCTACATTATCCCAAAGAACCACCCACGCCGGCACTATAGAAACTGATCCATATTCTACACAGTAGTATACATCCCCAACACACAGTAGCACTAGAATTGCGCTGAAAAGAGCTATTGCAATCTTCAGTGTTCCAACTTTGACCTGATGGAAAGGGAATGATATTTTAACCGTCCTCAAAACAGCGAGTACTATGTTCAAGAAAACGGACGAGGCGTAGCCGAGTAACGACAGTATGATGTGAATAACCGCGCACACCGTGGCACAAATAGGAGGTATGACGTCGTATGACAGGAGAACAACACATATCATGAGGACCAGGTGACCAACACACGTGATCAGGTCAGCTGCTGTTATCAGGATAAATAGTTTATTTGTGAGGGTACCACGGTTTCTCCAGTAGTAGGATAGGACTGTGGTACAAACAGCTAATACTAGGATACACAGAGGAATGTTGAACGGGACGACGAACATAATACGGGCTGCAAATAGTCTTCCACTCCCATCAAGATTTGAAGAAAAAGGTAGGTCAACACAAAACATCAATCACGATAACAATATCTAAATATATTTCTAAATCTATGACGGTTTTGTTTATAGCGCGTTGTCTCAGACTCAATTCAAGATTTCATCTGGAGCCAGTGAGGGGAGTATTGTCGTACATTTAAAAAAACTATACATAGATTTCTCATTATCATACACAAAACATCAGTCACGATAACAATATCTAAATATATTTCTAAATCTATGACGGTTTTGTTTAAAGCGCGTTGTCTCAGACTCAATTCAAGATTTCATCTGGAGCCAGTGAGGGGAGTATTGTCGTACATTCAAAAAAAACAATACATAGATTTCTCATTATCAAACATAAACCGGATATTGAGAAAAGTAGATGCTGGCAGATAGGGCTTGGACACGAATTTAGCTTATCGTGGGTTGAAAATTCAACCAATTATAAAATAGCTTTGTAATACAATAATGGCGAGGAAAAAGAGTATAAAACTATATTATATCATAAAAAATAGATAGTAGACTTGTTAGTCAGTTCTTGTAAGAAACTATAAACTTGTTTTCTATAAAAACCCTAGTGAAGTTTCCTTGAGTAGGTCCAGGAACATTCTTTAATTTTGAAAATTAATGTCACCTTCCAAACAACCGTCAAGTCCATCAGATTTAACAACAACAACAAGGTAACCAATTATATAACCAGAGGCATAGGTGCAGATTTCTTTTTGAGGTGAACTTTTAAGTTCCCGAGAAATTTTCTTCAGTTTGCTTTTTTTCCTCCTCGGGCACATTCGTAACCTACGGGCCAGGTAAACCTAAACTACATATTGACCGTTATGTACGTCGGTATCTGTTGAGGAGCCAAATCATCTGAAAAGCCCTTAACCTATATTTTGCTCAGGCACGTAGCCAGGATTTTTCTTTGGGGGGGGGGGGCTGTCGGCGAGCGAAGCTGCAAGCTGTGGCAGGGGTCTGGGGGCGCAGCCCCCAGCGGGGTCCAGGTAAGGGGCGGACCACATTGGCGGGGGCTAGGGGGGCGCAGCCCCCCGGAAAAATTGTGCGAAATATGGTGTTTTAGGCTAAATTGAAAGTTTAATGAATTTACAAAAATGTATGGTTTGGCATAATCATTGCCTACAATCCTGACCTGAGTAATTTACCCCTTTGAGACTTTATTTTGGGTTGAAAATTAAGTTTATCGAGAGGAAGTGAAAAATCTCTGGTTCAAATTTGGATTTGAAGCCATGTTTAATTTTTCTGTTGAGGTCAATTTTTTGCGCAGAAAGCGCTCGATTTTAGGGGAAAAAATGTATGTTTGCTTTTAATTTTTATGGTGCCGACGGCACCTGAAATCGACGAAATCTGCAGGGGTGACCAGAGGTGAATAACAACAACAAGGTAACTAATTATATAACCAGAGGTAATACAGTAAATAACAACAACAAGGTAACTAATTATAACCAGAGGTAATACAGTAAATAACAACAGCAAGGTAACTAATTATAACCAGAGGTAATACAGTAAATAACAACAACAAGGTAACTAAGTATAACCAGAGGTAATACAGTAAATAACAACAGCAAGGTAACTAATTATAACCAGAGGTAATACAGTAAATAACAACAACAAGGTAACTAAGTATAACCAGAGGTAATACAGTAAATAACAACAACAAGGTAACTAATTATAACCAGAGGTAATACAGTAAATAACAACAGCAAGGTAACTAATTATAACCAGAGGTAATACAGTAAATAACAACAGCAAGGTAACTAATTATAACCAGAGCTAGAGGTAATACAGTAAATAACAACAACAAGGTAACTAATTATAACCAGAGGTAATACAGTAAATAACAACAACAAGGTAACTAATTATAACCAGAGCTAGAGGTAATACAGTAAATAACAACAACAAGGTAACTAAGTATAACCAGAGCTAGAGGTAATACAGTAAATAACAACAACAAGGTAACTAATTATAACCAGAGGTAATACAGTAAATAACAACAGCAAGGTAACTAATTATAACCAGAGCTAGAGGTAATACAGTAAATAACAACAACAAGGTAACTAATTATAACCAGAGGTAATACAATAAATAACAACAACAAGGTAACTAATTATAACCAGAGGTGATACAGTAAATAACAACAACAAGGTAACTAATTATATAACCAGAGGTAATACAGTAAATAACAACAACAAGGTAACTAATTATAACCAGAGCTAGAGGTAATACAGTAAATAACAACAACAAGGTAACTAATTATAACCAGAGGTAATACAGTAAATAACAACAACAAGGTAACTAATTATAACCAGAGGTAATACAGTAAATAACAACAGCAAGGTAACTAATTATAACCAGAGCTAGAGGTAATACAGTAAATAACAACAACAAGGTAACTAATTATAACCAGAGGTAATACAGTAAATAACAACAACAAGGTAACTAATTATAACCAGAGGTGATACAGTAAATAACAACAACAAGGTAACTAATTATATAACCAGAGGTAATACAGTAAATAACAACAACTAGGTAACTAATTATAACCAGAGGTAATACAGTAAATAACAACAACAAGGTAACTAATTATAACCAGAGGTGATACAGTAAATAACAACAACAAGGTAACTAATTATAACCAGAGGTAATACAGTAAATAACAACAACTAGGTAACTAAGTATAACCAGAGGTGATACAGTAAATAACAACAGCAAGGTAACTAAGTATAACCAGAGCTAGAGGTAATACAGTAAATAACAACAACAAGGTAACTAATTATAACCAGAGGTAATACAGTAAATAACAACAACAAGGTAACTAATTATAACCAGAGCTAGAGGTAATACAGTAAATAACAACAACAAGGTAACTAAGTATAACCAGAGGTAATACAGTAAATAACAACAACAAGGTAACTAATTATAACCAGAGGTAATACAGTAAATAACAACAACAAGGTAACTAATTATAACCAGAGCTAGAGGTAATACAGTAAATAACAACAACAAGGTAACTAAGTATAACCAGAGGTAATACAGTAAATAACAACAGTAAGGTAACTAATTATAACCAGAGGTGATACAGTAAATAACAACAGCGAGGTAACTAATTATAACCAGAGGTAATACAGTAAATAACAACAGCAAGGTAACTAAGTATAACCAGAGGTAATACAGTAAATAACAACAACAAGGTAACTAAGTATAACCAGAGGTAATACAGTAAATAACAACAGCAAGGTAACTAATTATATAACCAGAGCTAGAGGTAATACAGTAAATAACAACAACAAGGTAACTA